ACCCAAGAGCTCATGTTAGAAACTAATTGGTTGCCTGAAATCGTGCAGGAAAGGGGGTTTCACTGGGAAGAGATCATGATTTAGTTTGATGTGAACAACTGAACTTCCAGAGAGGCAAGGAGAACTGCAGGTCCTCTGGCCCATCAGCCTTGGAGGAAGGTAACAAAGTTCTCCTCTTGGTAGCTTCTTTAACACATAAAGCAAGAGGTACAGCAATGGAGAAAACAGCTTTGAATTACTGCCTTAAGAAAGACAGATTATCCATCCACATTACACTCCTAATAATTTTACTTAGTATGAAATTGGCAGGTTTATATCACTACTGTGTTTCCTTCTCTTACTGTGAAAACACCAATGTTGTGATCAGCCAGCTTTAGTTCACAGAAAACTGATCCTTAACATTTGAGCAAATTTTTGTAAAATAATTCTACAACTTTTTACTTTTTTCTTTCTCTTGACTCGATATTAGCCTTGCAGGTAAAATCTTGTTCTGATCTGAGGACAGCAATCAGTAATGATGTATAAGCTGGTGTGTATGTAATCTTTCCATTTTGCAGCACAGGTATGCTGTCTTTTTAGTTTTTCTCATCTGACATTTCTTAGAAATGTCTCGTACTTTCATCTAAATCCAGTCTGGAGCTATTATATGATAGACAGATTACAGTGTTCATGGGCTCCCATACTGAACCAAGCAACAAATGGAAAATAAATCTTGCCTGATCTCGAGATTTCGTGGAAATGTAAGTATTTCCAACTGTCTTAAGCCACAACTTTTACTTATTTTAAATGTCTTCTCTATCCAGCTTTCCCACACTATGTCTCAAAAACACAAGGAAGAAAGTGACAATAAGCATGAAATTTGTATGGCATTCAAGGGGGCTGGTGCAGCTACCTGCACTGCAGGGCTGTGAATGAGAACTCCCAGCTGGACCCCTCAGCAATTTACTGCTGTGATGCTCTGCATCCATATCATGTTACCTTCACAAATCTCAAGCTGGACCTTGCAGTTTTCATTCTTTTTTTTTCTGTTGTCCAGAAGAGCACGTTGCTTTTATTTTTGCAGTAGTATTTAATAATCCCCAGCAAGGATTAGGGCTGTGTTGTTTGGCACAGCACACAGAGACAATGTCTGCCCCTGAAACCCTACAACCTAGAATAATGAACAGCATATACCAGAGAAGAAAGGCAGTCAATGTGAATAAAAAATTGTGTCTGTTCGTGCATTATCACAGTAGAAATCAAAGGCCAATGTTTTACCTTATCATGTGCCTTCTACTGATCATTGTCATCCAACAATAGTGGCAGAAATCAGGTTATGGAACTCAGGAACAGTTTCTTAATAGTGTGACACTTATCCATGACTGACTTTAAGGTGACTGGATCAGTCTTGGCTGCTCTTGGCTGCAGCTCTGACCCCCTGTTGTCATGGGGAAACCTGTTGCCCACATCTTCCCTTCCTTGGCTGGGCTGGAACTGCATCAGATGCAGTAATTACCACAATTAATGAAACAGGCATTGACCAAGACTCATGCTAAAGTTGCTTTGTGTCATTTCAGCATTAATACGTATTTACACTCGCTATCTGTGGGTAGAAGTCTGTAAGGGTCTGAGAAACCTACTGGTAAGAGCAAGGAATTATAAATATTATTCTTCTCAAATTGAAGAAAATGGGCATACTTAAATCTAGTACTTGCTAAATAATAGCTGATCTAATAGGATAGTTTAAGCACAACAAATATCCTGAGTAGTGTCAGCCAAGGAAAGCAGGGAAATGCATGAGCTGGGAGAAGTGCCGAGTTTCTCATTCCCAGCAAGGGTCCTCCAAAGAGACATCAGGGTGTGTTCATGGTCAGTGCAGGAAAGCTTTCCCACATTTCACTTGAGATCCAACTGCATTGTGCCAAATATTTCCCTTGCTTGGGGTGTCCCTTCAGACTGTATATTATTATTGTTAGTAGTAGTAGTAGTAGTAGTATTGCAACAGCTGCAGGCCCGGTTGTGCTGAGAATTCTAGGAACAAGGGTGGTGGCTCTCACCCCTCTAATCTGCTGTCAGATACAGGGTAGAGCACACAGCTGGGAAAAATGAAAGCTTGGTGTTGAGGTGGGATGAAGAAGTGAAAATTAGTCATTTGACTATACAGTACTGGACTGTTTATTTGTTAAGCTTTAATAGCTTTTAATACATATCAACATATGTGTAATGTTATGAAGGCGTAGGGAAAAAAGGAAATTTATTCAGCTGTTATGTCTATGAATTTCTGGTAATTTTTCAGTACTGTAAGGGTTTTTTAGTGATTGATTGGTATTGCCTGAATTTTTTCCACCTGTCCTGTCTCTGATATGCATTTGCAAAATGATTTGATGATGATGCTTTTATAATTCATCTCAGCAATATTTTGAGGCTGCTGTTAATCTGATCTAGAAAAAAAGAAAAAAAGCAGAATTGCTCACTTCTAAAATTAATTTAAAGCTTTCTGAATGCCCGGATCACAAATGTTCCATATCTAATTACCCAATGCCCTCTTTCAGTGTGTCATTGTATTACTTTTTTTTCCTCTTTTTAATATTATGGAAATGTAAAATAACTTGACCTTGAATAGATACCTTGTGGGGATTCCTTTAATATATGCAGTGAAGTAGATGAATGCCCGTTGATAGCTAAAAGAATTTTAGCTCTTCTATTTCATAACAGAGCTTTTCACTTCAGAAGCAGCAAAGTTTCTGGTGCTCATTCATTGCATTTTTATTAATTTGTAATATGTCAAATGAATAAGTGATCTCTCTTACTTCTGCTGATTAAAAAGTTCTATTAAGAACATAGATGATAAATATATATGATATGAAATTAACTGAGTTATAAATCCAAAATGTAGACATAATGTAATAAACCCACCTTTTCTTCAACATCATACTCCATTTTTCTAATGTGTAGACACCTATTGTCAGCTTAATTATTGTAAGGTAAGATTAACCTTAATTACTCAAGAAAAGTAAGACTGTCTTTGTAATAGTTAATTTTTAACAAGAAGGGGAATAGATCTATCTATAGTTAACACAATACACATAAATTCAGACCTATGAACAAAAGACACACTAATAAACTGCGAGTAACCAAGTTTATAGTTGGGGTTAATGCTTGAAACAAAGAGGGATAATTTGCTGTCTTCATCTCAGAAATAAATACCGTTGTGTCAGCTACCAGATGCACTGAGCAGAAATCTGATTTAATGACTGGTGTGCTAGGGAGGAAGAGGAGAGGGTTGCACCCTAAGATTTCAGAAAAATGGGCAGATGTCAAGCTTGTTGCCAATTTTTTGAATTGTTTAATTCCTATGTAAAATAACTCTAAAATCATAAGCCAAGCCCAGCCATAGCAGGCCATAGCCAGGCAGCATCAGGGCATTAGGATAAATCCAAGCTTGCTTTTAAACAGCTCAGGTTTTGTTTGAAGTGTGGTGTTTGGGGTATGATTTTTAATGGATTCAGACTATATTGATCCAGAGTCTGTTTCCTGTGAGTGAGCACTTTTAGGAAGTCATTAATTAAGCTACAAGCGAAGTTCCACTCCTGCCTACACAGGCACATGGGCTGTTGCTTTGGGTTTTGTGAGATCCACTGGGATCTGAGGTCTTGCACCCCATGCATCAAAGCTCCTGCTTATTTCCACATGAATTCTCCACATGAGGAGAGGCAGGATCCACAAACTATGGCAAGCCTCAGAAGAGAAGGGCAGTGCTGACAACACCTTCATCCAAAAGCCAAAAGAAGATCTTTACCTGCTTGATTTGAGAGCCTGGGCAAGGGAAAAGCAAGTTCTGCAAAGGGCCCCAGCACTGACTCTGCTCACACCTCATTAGTTCTCGTGTGCTGGCCCTTCTGTGACCTCAGGTAGGACTGGCAGTGTCATCTTTGTGTCCCCTCCTCACTCAAGTGTAGTGTGCTATATAAAGACTTTGGAAATTACATTCCACACCTAGAAACAAATTAGTTTAAAATCCAGGATTGGCGGGAAAGATCTAATTTTCCCTTTATCAGAGTGCATGTGTGTATATTTGGGGGAAAGGGATAAGGGGAAGTGGTGAGTAAATTCAGGCCTAAATGTGGTGGGGTTTTTTGGGTTGCAGGTATTTGTATGCTGGTGCTGCAGTCTCCATTTTCTCTCACCACAAATCTGGCTGATTCTCTTTTCCTCAGAGTGGAGCTTGATTTATTTTATTTATTATTTTTTCACACAGCTTTAGCACAGTGTTTTTTGTGGCAATTATGCAAATTATATGTCACACCACCACATATTTTCCACATCATTTGATTTGACCTTTAAAACTAATAAGAGAATTATCATTTTTATGGGTAATTTGTGTTTCATGGTATGAGACAGCAGGACAGGGACTGATGGGATGAACATCAGAACACAGGAGTCATGTTGCAGGATAGGACTGGAGGGCCATAAGTAGGTATCCAGTACACAACTGTGGCTGCTGTGAGCTTCTGAAGGGTAGATTAGAAGATATATTGTGGAATAAACTTCCCAGAGGGGAATTTTCTTTCCAATAATCTTCAGAGAGTTCTAGGCTAGCCATTGTTCTTTTGGCTCATAATTGTTTCTGATACATTCATTGATGTCTTGTATAACCTATATATGGATATGAGTATGTATTTCAGGTAATGTAATACAGGATATTATTCTTTCCATACAAATGTTGATAGGTTGTATCTCATGATACATGTGCATGTCTAATCCCACTTAATCACACCAAACCTCTTGCTGTATTTTCCTTAGTTAGTCAATTCTGCTGGTTAAACATATGCTGAATAACTTTCCAGTTCTTTTTGAGGCTGCTATAATCAACTTTTCTATGCATCCACCTGCTAAACTACTTTGAAAGGCAAAATGCTAAAAGCAAACAGAATTATCTATATATTGTCTTCCCCAAGATGTACAGAGCAAGCGTGATTGCCAATAGGTTCATTAACAGCACTGTAATACTGTACTTTCAGCCTCCTTCTCCCTCAGAAAGACCTCTGGAAAGTTCAAAGTGTCAAGAAAATTGTTGCAGAACTGTGATAAGACATGAAGTTCAAGCAGTGAAAACTTCAATAACACTGGCTAAATGCCACATTAATCTAACATGTGTCAGGTAAGATTTTCTGTGTGTTTAGGATGATGCCTGGCAGGAGCGTAGGAACTTCTGTGTGGGCTGTGGTTTGGGGAGAGGGAGGCAGAGTATTCTTCTTCTGACAGAAAATTAGTATTTCATGTGCACTCAGCTGCAATGGGAAATACCTGGATACAGAGCACTAGGATGTGATGGGAGGGTTCCCAAATGGAATACTGTACACCAGTATTTTGACCCCACTTTTCACTTCCCAGCTTCCCTCATGACTAATGTTTATATGGTATTTTCTCCTCTTATTGTTTGATTAGTCATCAACAATTTTGTTGCATTTTGCTCCCTTTTTGCTCTTTCCCTGTTCTTCAGTTCCTCTCTAGATTTCTTTCTAATAGATGTTTGCCTGTACCACCACATTTCAGGTGGGTGGTTCTGTGTCCCACCACAGCAGGGCCATGTGGAACTTCAACTACTTGAACATGAGGTTCTGCTCTAAGCTTATCATGCAGTGAAAACCAACCTTACAGTGTTAGTGTCAGATCAAAAATCAAACGAGAGTAAAAAATCACAAGGGATTTTTGGCATAACCTGATTAATTTTGCAGTTACATAAGACCTGTGAGTATCCTGTAAGTACTCTTCTCACCTTGAAAAGAAGATTGCACCTGTTCTCTTCATATTGCTCTTTCCCCACCTTCTGTTTATTTCCTCATCTGAGCATGCTTTTTCCTTTTCCTTGACGCAGCATATCTCCAGGCTTTACTTCACATAAGAAATGTAACAAAAAATATGAAAACCATCTGATTTGAACATGGAGGTACCCAAAAACCCCATGCCAAATTCCAGTTTTTTCATGACAAATTAGAAAAAATGCTAAAATCTTAGTAACTATAGCAGCACAAACACCACCACTACAATATGCCGCAACAGATTGTTCATATGTCACTATTTTTCCAAAGTTTCTTGGCAAACGTTTCCATCAGTAAACAAGTCAAGTGAAAGAATTGTAAAATGGCCAGCAAAACCCCTCAGATCTTCTCTAGGTAGTGAAATAAAATTCTGCTACTTATCACCATTATTCTGTTCCTCAGCCCCTCTTCTTTCACCTGTGCTGACAGACTACAGTTGTCTTTGTTTCTGCCTTCCCAATGAGGCTTTTGCCTGTCATGCCACCATCCTCTTTAAACTGCAAGTTTATCAAGGCATTGTCATGTCTAAATGTTGGGTCACATTCTCACCTGGGGAGAAAACATACACAGATCCATTAACTTTGTCAGAAAAATGACAAATTACATGAGCTGCTGAGCTGGCACTGCATGTTGTATGCAGCATGGCAAGCATCAATGGAACTGAAAAAAAAACAAAACATGAATAGTGCCAGTTCACTAACACTTAGAATGATGATTCATTTTTTTTTCCTATTATCTATTTTTCTTTGATGCTTAATGTGCCAGTATCATCAGAATTTATTGTTGGATTAAGTGCCTGGGGAATAGGCCAATTTATGCTGCATCTTAATGATGGGCAAATGTAAAGGTTTGGGAGTTCTTGATTATTACTAGAGTAATCTCTTGAAGCAGAAAAATATGTATTTCTACCATGCTATTACATATGGCATCTGTAAAACTGGAATTGGAATATTGGTGATTTTATGGAAAAAGTAATCTGATTTACCAACATTTGAAACTGTCATCCTGGATCAGAAATGGAGGGGGTTTTGCCTGATTTTTATTACTACCTGTAATTTGAATGTTCCTAAAAGTTATATAAAATTACAGTAGAGTGCATTGTAACATTTGTCTCTTCATGTATTGAAATAACCTGGAAAACTGTAATATTCACTAAAACCAGTAGAAGCTTTGTTATGAGCTTTGAAAAGAATGAATTTAACTTCCAACTCTTTATGATTTCACTTAACACATGAAAAGATGTTCTGGCTGTGCTTTGACTTTGGCATTGGCAGGGATGGCTGAAAAAAACAGTGTAAGAAGAACAAATATTTCATCAAACACCCAATCTGATTTTAAAAACCCCATAGATAAATGTCTAAATGTATATTTTAGTAATGAAAGGAAAAGGAGATATAACTGTCCAGAGATGCAAAATATTGTGTATCGTTAATAATACAAAAAAATCTAACTTTTAAAAATATCAAGATTATGGAGGTCATACAGAAGAAAGGAAGGAGGAATACTTTTTCTGGGCATTTGAGAAAATGAGAAAAGTCCAAGATACTTAGTTATGTTTAATCAAAATGTATAAGCAAGATTTAGGACTGGAGCACAACAGCCCTTGCTCCCTTTTTATGGCCTTCTCAGTCCTGAATTCTCTTTTCATGCACCTTCTTGGGATGGGGCAGTGAGTGCCTGTGCAGCTGACTGCAAGGTGAGAAAAAATTTTAGATTTGCAACGGTGGCATCCCTTTCACTTCCCATCCCAAAGTAGGAATTGATTTTGTGTTCCTTTGCTCAGGAGGTGGTCATGGATTTACAGGCATGATGGACTGCAAAGCCAGGCCTTTTTACCAGGACTTTTGGAAAGCTGCATCCATGCATCACCTTCCCTGGTTATTTCTCTGAGTGCCCTTTCACAGTGCTCACTCCTCTCCGTGCAGCGTCACAAAAGCTGTGGTGGTGAACTGAACTGGTGTCACAACCTGAGACTCCTGCCTTCACTAGCCTGAGTTAATCATGACAACATGAGCAACAGGACTTTAACCCTAACTTTTCTTCAAGGAGCCTACTCAATTCACTCATAATTCATATAATGAAATAGTGTTGAACAGCTTGGTTTGCCCTCTTTCCGGCATTTATTCCAATATATCAAAGCAGTGAGTTCCCAACAGGCTTTAAAAGGCAAGAGTACAATACCAATCCATGTGTGACCTTCCTGTTGATTTATTCTCATCAGCCAACAGGTGCCTCATACAGAGTTCAAACTAATAAATTCTGAAAGACAAAAGTAACAACCTTACAGTGAAACATTGTCAGGGACAACTTCTAATCCCCTCTGTTTTTATAGCAGTGAAAAGATGAGAGGGGGGGAAAAAAAAGAATAGAAAAAAGGGGGAGATGGGAGACAAAGAAGAAAATCCTGAAAGAGTTAGTGCCCCAGAGAGCTGCATAATGATTAACTATACCTTTTTCAAATGATAAGTGATTCCTTCTTAGTCCTGGATGACAATAGAATCATAACTTCATCAAAATTACTTTGAATAGCCTCATTAATGACACATAGTCTTGGTTTGTCCCTGCCTCAATGACTGATAATATTTTTCATACCTGCTACTGAATATGTGTTTAGCTTTGTCCTCCTCATTTGTACAATGCATTCATACATATCAGATCATCTTCTTTTGTTCTTGGATGTTCAACAATTCAATATGATGGTAGCAATAAAAGGGGAGTAAAAAAGGAGGAGGATAAGATGAAGATTTCTTTTCAGGTCAAGTTAACTAAACAATGGAAAGGAAAGTGTATTATATCACCTATAGAAAGCAGCCTAGTTGATCCAATTCTAGCTGCAGATAATATTTAGAAAGCACAGTCATTAAATATGATTTATTGAAGTACAATATTGCCTCCATTGCTTTGACTAGAGGCATTTTCTTCTAAAATAGCTGATTAACAGAAGAAGCTCCCTTTAGAACAGCTGCACAGAGTATTCCTGTCAAGCCTCTACCTTGTATAAATATTTTTTAATTAATAGATGCCTTCATCGAATACATGAAAAAATTAAGCTGTAACTCTCACCAGAGACCCTGCTATTAGAGTGATTATTTTAGATTTCGTTTCATTTGCAGATGCCGTTAATTTATTTTTAATAGATCGCTAATTTAGTTTTATCTATTTCTTGTTCAGTTTTTGTAGATATTAGCAGGCTGTGCTTCCTTCAAAGCACACCAGCTTTCCCCTCCCTCTTCCTCCAGGCTCTGTACTCTCCACAGTGCATCTGTGTTTAAATTAGCTGGACCACTGCAGGCTGAGATAGCGATTCATCTGCACATCTGCCACAAGAGGGAAGTTAGCAGTCTAGCTGAGGGACTCAAAGCAAAAAACAGCATTACCACTGCAAGTCATCTGTTCTGTCTGGCAAAGCAGTAGTCGTGTCACACAGGAGCAGGCTGCCCTTGAAGTATCTTCTGTCGAGTGAGTGGCAGTGGTATTGTTGAGCAGTACATAAACCTCCTTTTGTCAGCTTGCATTAACCACAGAATTGACTTGTCAGACATTTGCACTTGGGGAGAGAGAGAGATGAGCAATGTCCTGCCTGTAACAAAGGAAACATCAGTGCCACAGCAGAGAGCACAGATTCCAGAGCTGGTTTCTTGGAAAACAACAGCAGCCTGTTCAAAGTCCTCTGCTGTGGCAGCTCAGCTGCTTCTGCTTCATAGGTGCTTAAATTGTGGGTGTCTGTGCAAATGGACAGGATGAGGTGACTCCCAGAGCAAGCTGCCCTGTTCCCAGGAGCTCAAACAACCCTTTGCTTGGTGTCAGTCTCAGCAGTTTTAGATTTAGATTTAGTTTTGGATTTGTGCACATAGGATTCAGTGCACACAAGAGCATTTCATTGCTATGAACAGGCTAAGAAAGTTGTGTGGAGACCCCAGAGCAGCCTTTGAGTATCTGAAGGGGATCTACGAATAAGCCAGAGAGGGACTCCTCAGGAGCTGTAGTGTGATAGGACAAGGAGTAATGGGTTCAAACTGAAAGGGGAGATATAGGTTAGCTATACAGAAGAAATTCTTTACTCTAAAGGTGTTGAGACACTAGAACAGTTTTTCAGTCACAAAGGCAAGGTTGGATGGAGCTCTGAACCAGCTAGTCTAGTGGAAAGTGTGCCTGCTCATGGTAAGGGATTTGAACTAGATGTTCTTTAAGGTCCCTTTCAACCTAAACTATTTTATCACTCTGTGTTTCTACAAATATGGTGTTCAAGATAGTAAGAGATGGACATAAATCTTCATTATCTCTTTTAGACTAAGACAAGAAGTGAAAGACTAGGAAGTTTCTTTGCCCTGGTTTTGATCTCACAGCTGTGATGCAGAGAGATGGCATGCCTTTTGGGGTTTTTTCACTCTCACAGCAGCTTTAAGAAAGAGCTATAAGATGAATCTAGACCTTCTTTGTCTTAATTCTTTGTTGTTTTATTACATACGAGTGTTATTTCCTAAAGGGCAGTGCCAATGTCTGGTCAGCTCTGCTCCATTGTAATCAACATGTACTTTATCATTGACTTTAGAACAAGCAGAGTACACAGTCAGCTATAACAAGACAAGAAACTGCTGATTTTATGTTGATTTGAGTGAATAAGCTTTTCCAGTGTGTCTCAGTTCCTAGCTGGGGATATCTCCGGATTTAATTTCAATCAGATCTCTTCTAAAAGGGATTAAAGAATGCTGGTTGTGCTAGGGACCATGGAACTTCTATCTTCTGGAAACATTTTTGTTTTACTTCTGTGCAGATAATTTTGAGTCTTACCACTCTTGGGCTGAATATGCACCAGCACCTGCTAGATTTAAGTGGTTTTCCTTGTCAGTTTGCTGTCTCAGTCAGGGAACTGAGAATGTTCATTCATAGACTTCTCCAGTAAATTGCTGGATGAAGACAGGTATTGATTATCATTTTTAAAGACATGCAATTAGTAAGCACATTATAGTAAAAGAACACAAATATTAATAAAAAAGAAGAAGGAAGTCATGATTATTGTCTCCAACCTCAAGATAATACTGGAATTTTTTTGTCATGCGTGTGATTTTTTTTCCCTCCATACATTTTTCTCACAGTTTTTTTTAAGTGTATGAAAAGTTTGGGGTTTTTTATATTAGTATCATCTCATGAAGTATGACCTGCTTAAAGATATTTTTATGAACATACTCCATTCAGAAAAACAGGATGTGTTTTCTCCAGCTGTGTTGTTACTTCTCTAAGTGGTTCCTCCAGAATAAGTATTTTCCTCTCCTGAAGAGTATGAAAGCAGAGATACAAAATGGTTTTTTCCCTATTTAAAGAGGGATAAATGTTTTATGAAATTAGCCTAACTGCATGTAGATCTGTGTGATCTTCCTGCACCTCTAAATTACCTCTTTCCTATGGCAGCTGTTATTATCTCTTTCACACAGCCCCTGTGCTACACAGTTCCTGTGATAACCTATGCAGTCTTCATCTATTTAGGTAATGCTGAAGACCAGCTAGATTGTGGGCACCATGAGAATCTTCCAAGACCATTTTTTTTATCTAGGAATGAGATTCCTGTGGTTTGCCTGTTAATCTCAAATAGCCAAGGTTAAGTATATGTAGAGAAAAATCTATTCATAGCAACCTAATCTTAGCAACACTCCTAAAATGAGCATAGGTATAAGTGTGTAGACATGAAGTCAAAGCACAGCTGGCCCTTTTGTGTCTTTTAAACCATCTCCAGTGACATTGGGATGTTGATGCAACTAAATCATGATGAGGAGGTCAAGGAATGCAATCTGTGCATCCCCTACATCAGAAACTGTAAAAAATTTCCTAATAGGAAAGCTTATTCCTGGGCAGAGCTGTGAGTGACTGCAGAAACTCAAGAGCTCTGGGTGTGAGGAGCACTGTCTTAAAGACTTTGCTATAGGATGTTCAGTCCATATCTAGAAATGCAGTGCTAGTCTGCTCACTTGCAGGCCAGCAGGTCTCACTAGCTTCCACTCAGACACATCAAAGTTACAGTACTTTGAAGTGGTAGGGAATTTGGTAAAAGGGATGGAGGCTCCAGGGAAGAATCTCAAGTTCTAGTTAAGGTGATGTGATGTTACTTTTCTCTACTGCCAATGCCACAAGCTATTTTTGGCTGCTAAGGACTTTAAGTTTCATCTAGATGCCAAGGTAACCTTGGAGTATGTTAAGGAGACCTGGGTGTGGTTGTTCTTCTGCGGGGATAACTCAGATTCTGAGGAGACATTGCCAATCCCTCTATCAACCACACATGGAGATGAGTGTCCATGAAGATGTTGTGCAGCTTCAGCAGAACCCAGGAATCTGAACAATTCCCAGCATCCTGGCTATGGAAAACTCATCTGCTTAAATAAATAACATCCTACGAGAAAGAGCACATTGTATGCAAGATAATCTATCTGCTGTATGCAAGATAATGAGACCATGGATTTTTTAAGGGTTGCTGAGAGTCTGAAAATAACTTGGTTCTCAGCAGAGAAGGTGTTGGTGTTTTCTTGGTGAGTTCCCACTGCGTAAACCATAAAATTTGCCTTAGACTGCAAGCTGTGTCAAGTACTAGGCCAGGAACAATTTATCTGTGGTTGCTCACTTCACAGATATACTGCTCTTTAATACATTCTGCTGTCGTATAAATGTGGGCTACATACTCTTCCAGAAAAAAACAAAACAAAAACTGGCCATTGCTTTCCTTTTAATGCTACACAAAAATACTTGTCTTTTGATTGCTGCAGATTACAAACCTGCTGTGCATATATGCTTTCAAAAATACACCACAGTAAAGACAAGGTTGTGTGCATTTGCCAAAGAAATGTGAGTTTCTCATTCACTCTCCTGGGCCCAAGTGTTGTTGTGGGATGAAGAATCAGGGTGGATGGAACCAAAAAGGCTCCAGGAGTGTCATGACTGTAATCAGTGTCACATCCCTGGTGTTCTGCCTGTTCTTTTCACCAGCATGTGAATGTGCTCGTCATCGTCCTCAGTCTTCAGCAACTTTGGGAGGCTGGACTCTGGTGAGATGCCACACAAAGACATTCTACAAAATCATAATCTGTCTCTTCCTCTGATTCTGAACTCATGCTCATGTTTGACCTCTACCATGTCAAAAAAGGAACCTTTCCCAAGACTGGGGGGAAAGGTGAGATGAGGATTTGATACCATGTGAACTCTCCCAGAGTAAGTAACTGTAGATTTATTTTTTTTCTGTTAAGACAGAAAATAAACCTTTTGCTTAACCATCATTTCTCTCTTTCCTCTGGAAGCCCAGTTTTGTAAGCCTAGCAACTGTATACTGAGAAATGGTGTGGAAGTAAGGAACAGCAGAAAATGTATTTGGTAAGTTTAACTTTTCCTTTCTCTTTTGACATTAGCAGTGGTGTTTTGCCAAGCACATTTGTTTAGAATGATTGCCTGGGCAACTTTGAGGTATAAATTTCTTTCAAAATCTGTTCAGAGGAGTTAATAATTTATTTGATATGTTAGTCCTATTACAGCATTTCTGTCCTCATAATGGCTGAGCCATAAATATTTTTATCAGGCTGGTAGATTTTATCTTAGAATAGTGAATTTGAAACTATTTTTCTGTGTAGATTTGTAATTTCATTCTGAAAATTGTGATTTATTGTAAATCTTTAACTTCATTATAGACTAGAAGTGTTCAAATTTCTTCTTGATTAAATACTGAGCTATTTTTTTTTCATTTTCTTCTGTTTCTGAACTGATCAGGTTTTTTTCTATGAATGTGTTAATTGCTCAAAAATTCTAATTTTTCCCACTTAAGAAAAAAGAGGAATTGTTACAAAGGCTTTTTATTAATCCCCTGCTACTGGTTCTTTAAGAATCTGGTAATTATTTGTCTGCTTACTCAAGTCTTCTGTTTCTACACTGTGATTAGATAATTGAGTCTTAAAATGAGAAAATCACCAAAAAGATCTAACCCATAATGACTTGCAATATTACTTTCCAACATGAATAATTATTCACTGACTATTTGCGAAGTATTTAGGATTCATAAACATCTTCAGGGCAAAAAAACATTTGTCATGCAGATACGCATATGCAGTTGTTAATAATAAGCCACAAATAATAACTGAAAGAGCTGACAGTGCTTATGACAAAATTATTCATTATTTTTTGTGGTATTCAGCCAAGTCTGCCCAGGCTTTATAAATAACTGCTGACTTAGAGATTCTGAAGGCCAGGCAGAACTGCTGGGTCATTTTTCTGATTTCCAAGGTAGTATTGATCAGGTATTCTCCCCTAGTTGTGCTGGATGATGATTATATCCATGTGCATTTATTGTTTTAATTCTGCTGAATATAGATAGACTGAAAAGGCTTAAATAAAAATTTTAAAAAAATAATCTGCCATAGTAATTGATGAGGTGTAATAAGAAAAAAGGAATGTTTAGTACAGCAGTCACATACTTAAACAGTGCAGCACTCAAGTCATAGTTAAAATTTTCCCCTTATACAAGGTAGAATGGTTTAGAGAGTTCCTTATTTCTTCTTTTTTACAAAACTGTGTAGAATCCTGGCAGGAAATGGGTTCCAGAGAGCAGTGACAGTTGTTTCTCTGTAGCAAATGTGGTTGTTAATGGAAAGAAATGCAAGACAGCCATCTGTTGGCTTGTGCAGAAAGCTGTTTGGTTCCCAGTCCCAGGGCAGGAGCGAGCAGGTGCTCTCTGCGAGGGCAGCCGGTGTTTGTGCACACTTTAAAGGCAGGCTCAGCACCATCCCACTAAGAGGGAAATGTATCCCTGTGGAAATGGGTCCTGGGAGCGCTGCAGACATCTGGGACACAGGCAGGGCTCTGTCATCAGCGTGTTACTGGTGGGACAGAGCACTTCTGTGTCTTTTCCCAAGCAGCAATTCTGTGCTGTGGGACTTTGTAGCCAGGTGCCATCAAAGGTGATGGATTCAGCAGTGATGCCCTGCCTGGGGGGAGCTAATGCACAGCTGATCTCTAAATGTCTGGCAGTGCAGTACAGGTGACTTGTTCATCCCTGGGCTTGTGTGACACCTTCAGGTCTACCCTGTAAAGAACATACAAGTGAAGATAATAATTTAAATATTTAGGGTTAGGGTAAAGTTTGAATTAGGTATCTTATGTCTTTATGTTTTGTAGGCTGTTGGCTTTTATTAAAAACCTTTTCTATCATACAGACCATTAAACGAAACATTTAATAATTGGGTTTTTGTCCCAGATTTCCTGGCATAGATTTACAATTTGATAAATGAGACTAGTCACATATCATTGCCATTTGTGCTGAGGGACTGACTAGCATGGCTTCTTTCCCACCTGAGATACTCTCCCAGGCTTCTATTTTGAACTGGGACTATTTTGAACTATTCCAGGACCTGGGACCATTTAGATAGGTTAAATTCCTAATAAAAAAGAGGTAACTTCCCTCTGCTGTCTGTCTCCAGACATTTTTTATTAGATAGAGATGAAATAGTGGACATGCTGGCTCTCCCTCTTACCACAGTGTAATGATTGAGCAGGTTATCTTTCTTCAAGGGACAATAACACAAAGGAGAGCGCTTGATATGGTACTGTGGTGCTGCGTGTTTAGGCAGGGATTTTGTGAGGTTCTCACATATTGCTGCTGTCACAAGCCAATACAGCTGCATGCTTGTACTCAGGATTAAGCTCCAAAACACAGCAGTTTCAAAGGAAATTTTATCAGTGTTCTTATCTGGCACAAACTGGAATTTTCTAGAGATCCCTGGCTTGCTTTATTGTGGGGTTTTTTTTGTTTGGTTGGTTGTTTGGTTTGTTTTTTTGTTGTTTTGTTGTTGCTGCTGGGGTTTTTTTTTGTGGGTTTGTTTGTTTCTTTTGTTGTGTTTTTGTTGTTGTTGTTTGGGGGGGGTGTTTTGTTTTGGGGTTTTGTTTGTTTGTTTTGGTTTGGGTTGTTTTTGTCCCTGCTGAGGCCAGCTATAGGTAAAGCTAGGAGAAAACTGAGCCACTGTTGAAAATCACACCCTATACATTTCTGAGCACAGACAGATTGAATTTCAATAAAAATTAGAGTGAAATAAATGGTCTTATTAATACTTGTTAATTCTAATGTAATTTTAAATGGGTGTAAATTAATTTGGGGCTTTTTTCTCTAAGTTCTTCACATACCCTTTTGTAGATCAATGAAATCACAACAAGGGAATACAACCACTGGTTATAAAAGATAAAGGCCAAGTCTGAACCATAAGAAAGGCACCCAAATAACTGATGATGCTAAATAATGGAGCACAAGGCTGTACTGGTTGAACTGCATTAATGATCTGTTTACTGTATTTTGTGGCACACAACCTTTATGAACATTTGTCACCCGTGACTGGAGGAGTGTCAGAGATCTGAAAATGGTTTGCAAACACCAAGGGTTTGACCATTGCTTTCCTTCTGATGATGGTGTCTGCTATTGTGGATCCCTGTGCTCTTTCCCACCCCTCACATCCCCACTTATCTGGCTTAGATTGTGACAGCTTCTGATTGGGATGCATTTATCCCAGGTTTTCAACAGGAGATCAATGTTCTGTTTGAAATGAGGTTCAGCTAGTGCTGAACTGATAGAGCTGGAAGGATATGGACACCAGCTGAGGCAGAACAGCTTGTTACCATCCCTACAGATCTTACTGGGAGCTGAATGCTGCCTCTCAGGTTGTAACTCTCCAAGTTTAGAGTTGGATAGGGAAAATTTGTTAATTATGAATTCTCCAGTCCCTAGCAGAGGTTTAAAATTATTCTTTGATGTGACAATATACTCTTAATGCATAGAAATGTTCTCAATATATACAGGAGGTAAATCTTGTGGTCTGAGTCCAAACTCAAAGGACAATTCAGTTGGAAAGGCAGTCCAGTCTATGTGTATGCAACTATTAGAATAGGAATATCCCTCACATCCCACTTGCTAATAGAGTCCTCTTACCTGAGCACAAGGCCCCTGAAAGAAAGAAAAAGGTTATACAGTTTCAGGGGATGATGTCTGACAGATCGTGTGCTGGATTTGAGAAGCTGGCCTTTCTGCTAGGTAAGGTTTTACTCTCGCTTCATCAGCAAATTGTGACAAAAAAGGTCTAGACTGGTCCTGATTTTGTTATATTTAATATGAATTTCATAACTTTGCCTCCATTTTAATCTATAAAGTCTGGATTTTTTCCCTTTAATTTAAATTACCTGGTTTTGAAATTGCTGACTGCAACTCTTTGGGGGTATTCACTTCCAGAAGCTGCTGGGGAAGAAGGACTGATCCTGAATGCCAGAGGAAGGTACAACTTTTATCCTGCATAAATAACTTCATTCTCAGAGCAACCTGGAGTGGGATGTGGGAATTGAAATATTGGTTTGTGTTGATGGCAAGGGAAAGGTAAGACAGCTCTGACAGACATGGTGATGGGGCCTTTATGTTTACTGGAAGCTAAAGAAAAATTCTGAGAAATTTTGGAACAAAACCAAACCAATTTCTTTAAAAGAATGGAGTGGTTTCCCAGGAATTCTGAATATGTTTGATTCTGTTAATAACCTTCTCCAGGCTTTGCCTTTGACCCCAAAACCAAGATAAGAGGGAGGTTTTACCTTTGCTGCTCAAGACAGATGAGCTTGTTAGAGCAAGCTAACAAGTGTAGATTATGTCACTACAAATGCAGACGGGGAAGGTGACACTTCAGGTGCTTGCCTCTGGCTAGGTATGTGAGGCCAGTGCTGTATTCCTATCTAGGCACAGCCTTTCTGCTTATCTTACAATAAATTAAACTGACTACTTGTCATTAGGGCTGAAGGAGCTTTTTTTTTTTTCTTCTTCCTTTCTGTTACCTCAGGGTAACTAATACACCTTTGTTTTCCTGTGTTAAAACATAGTGAAAGCAAGACACTTCAGTTTGTAAGATCAGTGCTATGCATCTGCCTAAAGTTGACATATCCCACAGTGAAACTGAAATATTCTGGCATTGCTGCTTTTTTTTTTGATTTGTTTTGTTTAAAAAAAAAACCCACAAAACTACAGACTTGTGTGTGCTAATTACCCCAGCTAAACACAGCATCTTGAGCAATGAATACATTGTTGTAGCTGCAGAATTCCTAATTTATGCTGGTATGGAGGTCCCAGTGCTGATACTAGAATTTGTGACTTGGAAGTAATCAATCTCCTCCCATAGGCAAGCAATGTTCTTTCATTTCCTGGCTGTTACTCACTTGCATATTTCAATTTGATTCATGCATCTGGCATTCTGCTGTTCTCCTTCCCAGATGTACCTGCTCAAATTTAGTCACTTTTAAAGTGCTTGTCCAGCTGTGAGCTTCCTGTTTCACTGTCACCTGCTCTCCACTGAAGCAGATGTGATTAACTTAGGTCCAGCATTTGGTGTCTCTGCACAATTTATCCTTCCACCTCAGAGTGGCAGCAGGAGATTTGCTGGTTTCCTGCACTTAAATAGACAAACTCTATTTCCCGTGATTCTTATTTAATTGTTTCTCTTCTCTGAATTAATAGGTGAGGATTCTAACCCTATTCCTGTGCCACTCAGCTCCTTCATTTCACTGTACAAAGGAAAAAAAGTCTGTATATCAATGTAAAAAAAATAAATTATTCTTTTCATTCCCACTGCAGCCAGAATTTCCTGACTATACTCTTAAAGAAGTTGTACTGGGTTATTTTAGATACTCTCTAGCACATAGTCTCACTCATGAGAGAGGCTGCCCATAAGGCTCCTTGAAAGGGCACAGGGTAAAGCTCTAGAAATTCTGAGTATGCCTCAGGGACAAACACAAGGAAGAAATCTTGTCAGAATGAAGTCAGCTTCTCCCTTGCCCCCTACACTTTTTGGTGGCCCATGTGGGTCCATTCCAATAATCAAAAGGAAGCTTCTGCCATGCTGACAGTGATTTAAGTACAAGTGTTTCTCCTGACTTAGCAGCCCTAGCAACTGGATCTTCTCTAGTGTATTGGAACTCAGCAGCCATGGGAATTATGACAGTAATTCTTCTCATGTTCATGTATTTTTTGTTTTCTGCCTTATGAAATTATTTATAAAGAAGAAATAAGATGGACAAATGTTTTAAGAATGAAATTTCCAAATTTCTTGTGAAATTTCTGAGCAGCTGAGGCAGAAAAAACAACTTCCCACTGAAAATAACTTCTTTTTCTTGCAAACACTTCGTAATACATATCCACCATGCTTTCAAAAGAGAATGGTCATGCAAAGCAAAAATAACCCTGGGACTCCCTTAAAAATCATTTGGATCCACCTCAAAAATGCTTCCTTCTTGTCATGTCAACATTACTTTAATTAGAGCACTGGAGCTCCTAAGGGGACACAAACAATTGCAGGTCTGTGTTTCATACACATTCCCAGCCATTGGAGGTCAGCACAAGTTCGTTCATCCAAGCAGCTTTAAGGTCCTTTATTCCTCCAGTTTTGCCTAGCAGATTTTTGCTAATCATGAAAACGACTCTTCATGTCTATAACATCTTAGTAGGTAGGAAGGTTCTTGGGAACAGTGAGAAGCCAATGAATACAAAATCTATGCTTAGGTAAATGTCTTGGCTCCATGCAGTGTCCCAGGAAAAGCAGCACTCAGTGTTTGTTCTAGTTTTGGATGTCTAACTCAGCAGCTGGCAAGGGACTGCAATGGGTGGAACAGCTACACACAGTGCTCTTCCAGGTTTTGGTTGATGCTTGTGCCTCACTGAGCTCTGTTTGACATTAATCCTGCTGGTTAGGAAGCTCAGGATGCTGAGAGTGGCCCCAGAACAGCTACAGCAAAGAGCCTGCACCTTGCAATATATTATTTCAGTGGCTCATTGGAGTCCAGTATTAATGGATCACAGTGAAGTGCACTTTGAAAAAAAAATCTAAATAATCTTCAGCTAAAGAACATAAAGGTTTGAAGGCCACATTCTGTGGATTTATAAGTGATTTTAAAATATATTTATTTAAAAAGAAGAAAGAAAAAAAAAAAACGAGTCCATGCTATGAACTGCTAAAAATTGGAAAGCTCTGAGGTAAAAAAAGACTCAGGAAGTTCTGAATTTATTTTCCCAAACTACTACTTATTTCTGTACCCTTCTGCATCTGTTTCACTGAAAAATTTTCCCCAAAGGAACGTGAATAAAATTTTATTTGGCTATAGGGGTGGAGAGTGAAAGTAAGCAGAGAATTTGGTGGTATGTTTAAGTCCCTGGTGCAGAAAGGAGCTTAGAATCTCTGTTATGAATCTGGCAGGGAATTAATTTGAACTTCTGTCCCTCACTATGAAAATGGGCTATCAGTTATGGGATCTTTGCCCTCTAGAGACAAATTGAAAAGGTAAAAATTTTTTAAAAGTCAACTAGAATGAGTTTAAGTGTTTAGGAAAAACTTGCTAAACAATTTTGGGTTTGACCCAAAAGAAATATGGAAACATAGGAAAAAATTTATGAAATATGATTATTCATTCCCTGGGTAACAGAAATAATAATGTGAAACTCCTTCTTATCTGTAACTAAGGTCTGAAAATAAAATTCAAGTGTAGAAGGTCAGCTGAAAATTAAAAATGTAATTTATTAACTTGATTTTATTGGAACACTGAGGCTTGGTCTCAGAGGATAATAAAAATTACAGAATGCTGCACAGCCAGAATTACAAAGGCTTCAGGTTCAACGTGGGTCTCACTATATTGGTTGTTTATTTTGAAGCCTAGTTCCCACAGCTATTTGTCATCTCAGGTTTCATTAAGATACCATGATTTTGTCTTTGTGCCTGTGGAGGACCATATGAAAGTAGAAAAAGCACTGAACTGAACTGTTCCTCTGCTGTCATTTTAAAGGGAGGAAACAAAAAAAGAAAAGCTGATCTCACAAAGTCCCATTGCTCCAGCAGCTGGATCTACAGGAAGAAACATTGGATCCTGTTAGATTATTGATAAAATATTGTGCCATTTGGAATGCTGAGTATGGGAAGAGAATTTTCTCCCAGTATCTAGCTCAAATGTGAGTCCAGTAAAGACAAGTTAAGAGAACCAGCTTTGAACTGACTAGAAAGCTTTTGCAGCTCTGATGAATGATTTGGGACACACCAGTGTCTAATAAAATACAGATCAAACATTGGCATATATGGTGTGAGGTCTGAAGAGAGACTTAACGAGGCAGTATCCTGACTTTTGTTGCCACATCAGCTATTGTTAACCCAAAAGTCTTTGCTTTTTATTAGTGCTTTGTTCACTCACTAATAATTACCTGTCTCACACCTTTAGGAGATTGCAAAATGTATTTTACTGATGGTGATGCTGAGCAACAGAAATATAACATGTGGTGTTAGGAAGGCCATGACAATCCTGGAAAGAAAACTCCTCAGAATCCAAACTGTAACCACATTTGATAATCATGATCTGAAGAATGTTATATAAAATGTAAGAATTTTGGTGAATTTTATAAACAGTTCTTTTCAGCCTTAACTTTACATTGTGAACAGTTGTATTGATTTGATTGGAAGTGTCAAAAGTATGTATGGAACTGTAGGAAGGCAGGAATGTCTGTAGGAAAAGTTTTGGTGGAGTGACTAGTTTGTTAAAAAAAATTAAAGGTGTTCTGTGTTATCAAAAGGTCATAATAGTGAGCAGTGGTTTGAATTCTTGTGAAGGCCACTGACAGTTCTAATTAAACTAATGTAGGAAGGAACAAATGTGTGGATGACTTTCTTGCTGTTCTATAGTATGTGAAATCTGGGATTTATCTTTAATTGCTTCCTGAAGTTAATTAAAGTATCCTGTGGAATAGGATACTTAATCTAAGCATCCTGTGGAAGGTGGCTTTGCTCTGACACTACTTGTGCTTGGTGTCAGGGTTGACATCTAAGCTTTTTATCAAGTTCAGTGAGATAGTGAATTAAATAGTAAGAATATAAGCAAATATAAACTAGTCCTAGATAAACCCAGGTATAAATCTTAATCTGGACAGAGTGCCTGAAGTCAGCAAAGCCCTGTACAGACACATGTGTCTTCCTAAGAAGGCCATGACTCACTGCAAGAGTGCTCATAGGATTTTTTGATTTCCTCTCTAGATTTTGTTTTTATACAGAACTGATGATTGTGTGTGCATGTTTGTTCCTTTATCTTAAAGATCAAAATCTGGTCCTGGGTAATTCTGAACATGCTGCAAAGGGATTACATCTTCCACTGTTGAGCAATTCTAGTTACATCAGAGAATTTTACTGAGATCCTTTAGTCAAACTCAGAACACCAGGCTTTGGTCTAGAAGACTGCTACACTGTCTGAGTAAAACTGTACTAATGTTGAATTTAATTATTCTAATCTTGAATCTAATGATTGACGGTGTCTCCTGGCCTCAGGAATCCCATGATAAAGATGTAATCTTCACACTGTTTTAAAAGGCTAAAACCACTATCCTAATTCTGAACTTGTTCCATGACAAGGAATAGCACGTCCTATACACTCATGTTGATGTCAGTTGGCTCCCAGGGCTGTAGAAACTGGTCCCCATGAACAAAGGGGATTCTGGATTCTGCCAGATCTGTTCCACCACTGCATGAACATCAGACAGAAGAGCAGCCAAAGGGCCATGGCTGAGCTATCTGCATTATCAGGACCAGAAATCTTAGGAGCTGAACTGGCTACCAGGACTGGCAAAGGTTGCAGTTTGAAGTATGGCTGTTGCTGTGGGAAGGAAGGGAGGAGTGAGAGCCTTTTCCTGGCATTGCTTTCACAGAAGTACAACAGTAAACCTCACTCTGGAGAATTTCTCCTGCTCTCTAGCTCTCAAACCCTGCTCTACTCCTTTCCTCTATACACCTGTTTTCAGTGAAAACAGTCTATTAAACCTTCCCCCACCCTGCTGGGGGTGATGCTCTTCTGTCCTGCACAGACTGGCAGGAGTTCCACAGCCAGGCCCCATGGTAAAGGGGATGAACTGAAGCTCTGGACCATCAACCAGGTGAAGTCCTTGCACCAGCACTGCTTTTGCCACGGTGAATGCATGGAGTGTGAAGAGGCTGGGGTGGGGGATCCAGCCAGGCCCCCCAGGGCTGTGGCGTGGTCCAAGGGGCTGAGGAGGTACCAGGAATACGTCTGTCCTGTGGATGAAGCAGGGAACCAGCTCAGGCAGTGGAAACCCTAGCAGAGCCTTTACTGCTGAGTATTTAGTCTTTGCTTATCTCAGTCATGAGTCACCCTTGTTCCATTTTTAGCAGATAAAAAGAAGAGAAGGAAATCTTATGCAAAGAGACTGTAATGATGCTGTAACTCTATGACATCAGCTGCTGTTTGCCAGCATAGTGCATAGCAGGTGAGGAGAGCAGCTGCTCCAGGTAAGAGTTTCAGGTGCCTGTTAGCTACAGTGAGAGTGCTGGAGCTGAAGGACATGCGCTTCTCTCAGAGCAAGTTGTAGCTGATTACTTGATGGCTTGAAATCTTAGCAGCGTTGAAAAAGCAGCACAGAACCTCTGTCCTGTGTAGAAAAGGCTGTTTTGAAATCCACTGCAAGCAATAGGCTGCTGAATGTAGCTGCAATAGTTGCCTCCCCAGCTAAGGGATGTAGGGCTGGATAGTGGAATGACACCTGTCTATAAGTACTCTTAGGCCCAACTTGCCCAACTCTTCTCCAACAATATGAAATATGCTGTTTGAATAAGGATTTATTTCAAAAGAGAACTGTAGAGACTGGAAAATAGTAACATTTGACTCCAATTCTTTACTGAGGTCTGACGAGATTACTGTGCATAATATTAAAGTTAGAGATTATATGGAATATAAAAACAAGCATCACAGGAAAGAAACTTTAGTTTGCTAGTATGTCAGGAGTTGTCAGGAGAGTTAAAAGACTCCAATCATAAGCTTGAGGAGGTTTAATGAAAATATTTTGTGACTGAAACTGAGCTGAAGCTGCTGCTCTAGGAAATCTTCAATTGACTTGATTTTCTGGTATATGTATCAGCTTTGAACTGACCTCTTGGAGTTGTAGCTCCAGAAACATGGCAGTGTTTTTGGAATACCAGACCATGTTCCTAAGGCTTCTGTAACAAATGCAGGGTGTTTCAGACTTCTGCCCTGAACCTTAAATACAAAGAACTTCAAGTAAGGAATAACATTTTATCCTGTTATCCATTTATCAAAATGATAAATATAAATATAAGTCTTAAACCAGCTTCAAAAAACACCTGTGTCAGAACTCATGGATTTAAAAAAACTCTTGAGATAATTTTGTAAAGTTGCCCTTCCTGCATTTGGCAACAATTTCTAGAATGAATTTCTCAATTCTCATTCCCCCTTTTAGTCTCCCATCTGACACTTTTTTAGTCTCCCATCTGACACTTGGTGCCTCTTCAGAGCTCCATTGACTTCAGTGAGGCATGAAATTGAGAAAGAATTGCAGTTAAATCTGCTTAAAACAGAATTGCAACTATTTGTGCCAAGGCATAGGGAAAGCAAAACTCTCAAAAGTCAAAAGAAATTCTCCACAAGTGAAAACAGAAAAAAAACTTGGCCTGAAAAATCTTTTGAAACTTTGAATGCTTACAGTTAAGTTGATAAAGTGAATACCTCTTTTGGTTATTCAATATTTTGGTTTCTTACATCTGTTTGACAGTGTAGGGTAAAAATAACTATTTTCAACCAAACAAAACTGAAATGGCGAATAACAAAACTGAAATGGCAAATAACAAAACTGTAGGCAGTGACAAGAGGAAATAAGTCTCCAGAGATCCCATGTATGGAGTCACATTTAACACACAAATCTAAGTCTGTGGCATGTCTTGAAATTACTTGTTCATTGGCTATGGGGAAGGCAAATAGTCTTCTGTGTCATGTCACTAAGTTTAGTAAAGCTAATAAAAAGGTTCTGAAGCATAAGTACTACTTGAATGAGTAGGGCTATTGACCTCACTGGGTCTAATTCAATGGAGTGCTTCATTGAATGAGTAAGAATTGCACAACAGAGCCACTTGTTAGATTAAAACTGGGGTATTTTGAAATGCTACTTTTTTCTTTTTTCTTTTTTCTTTTTTCCCCCAGCTGAGTAGTATTACAAGTCCTCATCTAGGCCTGCATAAATCTCATGCTCCTGGAAGCACTGAAAAATTTCATTACAAGAACAATAAGCAATAACTTTTGTGTGAAATCATTTCATAATTTCCTGTTCAGACACTGACGTTTCATCATTAAACATAGGTTAAAGCTATGTCTGTTTTGTTCAGTTTTACTAATAATAATAATAATGAGATTTGTCTGTTAAATACCAGTTGTCTTAATGTTCCAGATACTTGTAGAGGAGAATGACTTGTCTGAATCGACGTGGTGATGACACAGAGGAGGAACAGATGGCACAGAGCTGCCCCTGCTCCATTCATCATGTCCAGTGGAAACAATGACAATACCGCACTGATTCTCAGCAAATTACAGAGCTCAGCAAACAAATCAGCCTGGCTGGCAGAGGTCTTGGAAGAGTAAACTGAAATCTGCCTTGCACTGCTCTAGAGGTTACACGGCTATGGATCACATCGCTGCTGAAAGAGGTCAGTAGAGAAATGTCCCAGGAAAGAGATTTTGCCTCTACCTAGAGCTTGTAAAGTGGTTTTTTTATAGCCTTTGGCTTGGCTGAGTGGTTCTGTTGGCATCACTGGATCTAGCTAGCTAAGTTTTTTATTTAAGAAGTAAGAATAGAAGAATCAACTTCATGAGAAATTTCCAGGTAAGTGTGTAGTAATGGCATCAGCTTTGTAATGGCAAGAAGATAGAGCAGAAGACACACTGGGCTCTCTTGTGCTTGCTGCTGGATTTTTGCAGGAGGCTGTTAGTTGCTATATAGTTATTCTTTTTGTCTTGGTGTGATTTTTTTTTAATTAATGTTTTTTTTGTCTGATTATGACATTCTAGTCAGATATATTTTATTTTTGTATCAGAAGATAAGGACAAAACTGTATCAACTGTGCAATTTATGAAGCCTTAATCCTTGCCAGGAGATAAAAGTTGCAGGTGCTACAAATGTCCTCAGGTTAGGTACAGATTCCTAACTGGATTTGTTTATCATATATCAATCAGATATTTGTATCAGACAAAAATAATCTCAACAATTTCCGATGCTTTGAGTACTCAAAGCTTATTGACATCCAGATGCAATCAGAAAACTGGTTCTGGTAATATTGCCTAAGAAACTAGGCTGACAGCATCTCTAAAAGCTTAAGGCTTTCAAGCATTGTCTTGTCATCTTACCATGCCCCGTGCAGAACAAGGAGGTGCAGAGGTGTGGAGAGGCAGCTGTGCCAGCCCCAGGGCTGTGCAGGGGCTGCGTGGACCTGCCAGACGCAGAGGAGCCCTGCCCTGCCCTGTTGCAACACTGGTTACGTGTGTCCACCTGTGCCATGGGTCTGAGTTGCTCTAGATTATTCCCTGACCAATATCAAACCATTGTGTGTCTCCTTCAAGTTGTGCAAGGCCAGTTGAGGGGATCTTTCAGTGATGGTGTGCAGTTTTATTTCCAGGTGAAGTGTCATATCCCACGTATGTATTGCTAAAGAAGCAAACACAGATATGGGATTCTTACCATGTAAGGATTTAGGGAATTTAGTCTATAGCTGGTGAAATGTGGATGACTCAAAAGACAGCCTGGGAGTGACTGACCAGCTGATGGCTGGTACTTGCTCTTGCTTTGTTTTTATGGTATTTCCCTATCTGTTCATGAAGTCACCTACATATCTAAGGCAGAAATTGCCTCCAAGACCCATGTGTCCACATACATCAAATATAAATATAAGTCATCAATGGTACATAGAATTTATGAGATGGATTTTTGTTGTAAGGGAAATGATTGTGAGAAGAAAAAAGGTTTTTTTACTGTGTACTCCATTTCCTGCATGCTCTGCTGCCAATTTAAACACTATCAAAACTTGTTTTGTTGTTGATTTTAACAGAGGAATAGACTTGGGTTCCCAGTTTTTTCAGCTCTTGTTTGACATTGGTGTTTGTCCACTCAAAACAAGCATAAAGCTGTCTCATGTCTTTGTTTAGACCCTTATTGTTTTATGTAGTATGTAAATGTGAATCTGTCATGAGCTGAAATTATCACGGTCTTGCAATTAGATTGCAAGACCATTTCACAACTCTGCTGTAAGTAACTGTACTCTGGGATGAGCAGGATTCCTACAAAATCCTTCTGGCTTATGACATGACAGTTTTCTGGGATGAGCTTTCATGCTTTCTTGCAACATTTATTTTTATTTTATTGGTAGGTAATCCAGCACAGTATTATAAATGAGGACACTGTGAATCCAGTATTGTTATTTTAAATGATGTCATTGTGACCACTACAATGGCACTACATTTCTGACTGGGCCAAAAGTCTAATGGAAGGTTAGAATTTTTTGTCCTCATTTCCTGAGTGCATCAGCAGAGTTCAGTCTTTTGACCTGTCCTATGTAACAAAGGAATTTTTATCAGAAAAGTGATTTTCTTCAGAGAGGCTACTTAAGCAGAGTCCTACCCCACTCTGTTCTCTCTGTTGTTAAAACTTAGCTAATTAACTGTGCATATTTTGCTTCATTTTTGCACTACACTCCTCAGCAATTAGTCTCAGAGCATTTAAAAAGGACTTAAACACTTTTACCCTGATTTCAATGTGAAAATCCAGTGGTGTTAACAGGATGATGACAAAGCAAGGAATAAAACCTAGAACCTGGGTATTCATTGATGCTTTTCCTACAGATTTATAATAATTGTAGTCATGTCCTGCAAACTTTACTATTGTTTTTGTAGAACATGGTGTGTGATCTGCTGGTAATCTTAGAAATTCACCATCTTCTTGCCAAAGTATGAAGAGTGACCAGTCCTCAAGCCACTAAAGAGAAGTGCTGATTCAATCTTGGTAGGATTGGTGTCCCCTGCAGTTGAATACATGCAGTTCTAGTACAGTCAGCACAGAAAATGTTTTCCTCCCACTTCCCAGAATGATAAAAATAGGGTATTGGTAGTGGTGGTTTTGGTGTTGCAAAGAAGACAATTACTGATTTCTTCCTCCAGTGTCCAGGCAGCACAGATCCTCATACCTTTGAGTAATAGATTAAGGTGCAGGTAACAGGTAACATGATAGATTGTATATAGAAGCCTGAGCAATAGATGAGATGGCTTTGATTAAGGTACAGTTTTGAAGGGCACAATTATTTTGGTGTGTTTTATTTTTCTGTTTTAATTTGGGGTTTTTTGTTTGGTTGGTTTTTTGGCTTTTATTTTTTCTTCTGCTTTTTTTTTGTTGTTTGGTTTGGTTTTTTGTGGGGTTTTTGTTTGGTTGGTTAGGTTTTGGGGAAGTTTCTTGGGGGGGATTGTTGCTGAGGTTTTTTTGGGGGCTTGGGTTTTTTACTGCAGGAGAAATACCATATTCTGTTTACAGATAATTTTTTGTGTATTTGGCCAGACTCATCCCTTCTATAAATCTTTTGCTCTGAATAGGATCAGATCAGGAATTTTAGTCAGCTTCTAGTGGTATTTGTTTTGTGAGCACTGGTTTTAGGTCACGATTAACAGATATCCAAATGGGTAGCTCTTCTCTGAGTTTTTTTGGTTTTTTTAATTGCTCATTTAAACTCATATTTAAATGTGATTTAAATTTTTTAATTTTCTTGTTATATTAAATATTCTAGACATTGAAAACTAAAATTTCCAAAACACTTAATTTGCTCTTTTGTTCATAAAGACACCAGTACCTCATGGGTCTTGAAATAGATAACAAGTATAGAGCTAGAGTCTGGAACTAGCAAAAGTATTTACATTATCTGAACTGATGTCTTAACTGGAGATTCCACTTCCCTGGTGAACTTAATTGTGGGAGGGGGGGAAAAAGACACATATGATATGTTAATTGTATTGCTTTGTGCCTCGAGAGGTGCTGAGCCTGTTGGGAAGAGCAGCTGGCAGCGGCGCTAGCTGGGACACTGCTGCGGGCAGCAGCACTACTTGGTAAGTGTCCTTATCAGAGGAAGATGAGCAGTAACTGAGTGAGCAGACAGCATGTTTTACAGGTGTTTGATTTGCTGTGACAATCAAGGACACAATTCCCAAACAAAAAAAAGCTCCTTGATGGGATGGGGTTGCCAGAGTGCAGAGAGAACGCCTTGCATTAGCTTGTTCATTTATCAGTAGGCCATAGGGGATAGGTGTCCAGGAGATACTACCAAGCATTCTTCCTGCAGGCTTATCTTCATCTCAGTCTCCTTTTCTTTTTGCAAATATGAACTCTTAGCCACTTAAGACCAACAACATTTTGCCACTATAATTGACATTATATTCAGAGTTCATTTGTCATTGAGCTATACTTACAGATGCCTTCATGAAACCTAAACAAGACTGATTCATACAGAAATGAGGTGTTCTTACCTAGAAAAAGCACCCAAAAAATAAAACTTTAAAAATATTATTTCTGGTGGTGGATCTTGTGAAACTGTAAAGCAAAACATTTTGAAGTTTTACTGCTTCTGTGTCATTTTAGTCAGTTAAGGGGCTATTTTCTTCACCCAAAATATTACAGTCTTATTAAGTTTAGATCACTCTTAAGCAGAATCCAAAAGTTTTATAGTACATTGAAGATATCTCACTTTGAAAATTACTTCAAAGGAGAAAATATATTTTAGCAATTTACTATGTGTCTAAGATAAGTTTTCAAAACCAACACAGTGTGTTCCCCTGTGATTTTCACAGTGGTTTATTTAACATTTCATCTTCTGCATTCCACATACTCAAGTTCTAGGCTACTCTTTCTGTATATAACTTACATTTCATTGCCAGGATGGCACAGCAATTTTTTCTAATTAAAGAACTTCAAATATTTTTATTCTCCCAGCCTTTCATCCTAACTGTTTTTCAAAACTGATATTATAATACAGCTTTCCTTTAGTCTGTCTCCACACTAATTTCAATTATTTTGGGAGAAAGGGATTCTTTTAAATGCTACCAGAGATGCTTCTGCTTTTACTTTTTGTCGCTAAAAACTGAAGCAGGAAAATTTGATCCAGGGAAGACCATACATGCATTTTCACAATTAAAAACCTTTTTTCTTAAAAGAAAAGATGAATGTTAGCTGTCCTTAATAGTTTCACATATGATAAAAGCCTGACTTGTTTTAAAACTAAATTAATTAGCTTTATAAAACTGTATTTCTCATTCATTGTACTAGCATGCCATTTATCCTAATACTGGCCAAAATGAGTTTAAAGGGACAGTTCACTCCAGTGAACACTTGTGCATGTGTCTGTAGTATCTAGCTCTAAACGCATTTTCATTTTATTACTAAAATGCTTTCCATTTCCTTGCAGGTATAAAGTTGTGTCTGTCATGCTACTCGTATAAGAAGAGATTAAAAAGAAATTTTAAAAAGCGTTTTTCCTTTACTCAGGGCAATAATTGTTGTTTTCAGCTAATATACGCTTAGCAAAATGAACCATGTAATTTTACAGATTACTCTGTTAAAATTTTCTAAACATTTTGGCATTTTATAGGGAGTGATGTCACTCCACATTGAGTGTAATTCGGAGAAAAGAAACAAGGTTTCTCCCTGGGAGGTATTTAAGAGGTAATATATCTTTAAGTGTCTCCGCCTCTGAATCCACCCACTCCTTGATAGCTGCAGCAGTCTTGTTGACTCACAGAAGCCGTGTTCATGCAAGAGCCAGCAATGAGCAGTATTTTTCAGAGATTTTAAGAGCACACCTCCTGCTATGTATTTCGCGTTCTAGCTTGCTGGAGCTGAAGCTGTATGAAAGAAAGTTTTACGTTTTGAAGATATTGCAAAAGATAGTTCCTCCTCTCACCCTGGAAAATCCTGACAGACCAGTTGGATACCTTTCAGGCCTTAACCAAGAACTTTATCTTCTCATCCCACTGTCTTTTTTACAGTAGAAAGACCTAAGACACCCTTAAGAACTGAGAATCTGACTAATTTAAACAGATGGCTAATCCCAGTGCTGTCTGCAATGGACATCTACATCATCATCACCATCATCAGAAACAGAATAACCTCACAAAAAGTGGACTATCTAAGAAAAATGGAATCACTAAAGGAATGAAGGTAAGGTTTCATTGTTTACCCTAATTGCCTCAATATTGAAAACAAATAGGTAGTTGCAACATTACTTATTATGCTATTTTTATGGCCACCTTAGTGTCTATCGAACAGCTTGTATGGATTAGGCTTGTGTGTTAAGTTTTGCAATCGTGGGACCTAACGCTGCTTTTGTCTTCTAAACTGCAGAGAGAGTTGGGAATGCTCATGCAAATGCTGTTGATCCCATGGACCGACTTAGCCTCTAGTTCCTATCAAGCACAACACATGTAGTAACTTCCATCTAAAGCTTAACTGGTGGTGGAGTTGACTTAGCAATGTATTAATCACTAGTGGAAAGCTGTTTTGTCAGCTTCAAGTGTGTATGGAGTAAATTTAAAGTGTGATTTGATGCCGTACAAGTGTAACAACAAAAATATGTAGGCAGGGAAAGCTGCCTCTTCTTGATGTTTACAATTCTGCAGGGTTGGCTTAGCTGATCCACACACTTCACTCATGTAAGCAGCCTTGTACAACTTAAAATCCAAGTCAGTTTACTTTCTGTTTTCTCAGGCTGTTTTCTTTGAAGCAGCACTTCTTACATCTGTGAATATTTTGTAGAACTGTTGGCAGGTAACATCCTGAGGAATGAGCAACAAATCTAAAAGTATACTTCTACCAAAAGAGCCCAAATCTTAAAGGTTGTCTCTCTGTGATACCTGTTCTGACTGCGAGTTTACTCTCTGTCTTGGAATGTCCTAATTCAGGTTCTTAATGTGATCGAGAGAAAGTCTTGTAGTGACTACAGCTGGCTTTACAACATGGTGTGGTGGTGACAGGGGGGATGGAGAATACTGCTTGTGGAGCCTGTGCACTCACCTGATCATCCCTGTTGGAAGCTTTAGACAAGGACTGTGGTGAGGGCTCCGCTGTTTTACAAATAAACTGCTATCTTTTATCTTTCTCTAAATGGGGCGCTCACACACCTCAGCACTCTAATGAGGGCACGCCCAGTGTCATGCTTAATGGTTGTCTGGCTTTAGGTGTCTCCCCTGGTATGAGTGTTTCCCAATCACTGGCTTGTGTTGGATGAGGAAAGCAAAAAATCTTGCGCAATGATTGAAAAGGGCCTTTCTTGGATTCGCTTCCAGAAACCTAATTCAGTATCCTCTTATATATCACATACACCTCCTCGTCATTTTGTACATTAACTATTTGCCACAATGATGTTCTAAACCTTTGCTTTACATTTGTGACAGATTTCAAGGGCTAAGCTTTGCCATTCAGTTACTGTTAACGTGCTGCAGATGAGTGATTTTGAAATCATAGGATGGCATTAAGTAGGATTTCCTCCTTAATAAAAAAAAGAAGTAAACAGCTAGAGAAGTAATGAATAATATTACTGAGGATGAGCAAAATAAAAAAATAAATAAATATTGGCCTGAAAGGGGTAGTAAAGGAATGAAGGAAATATTAGTAGATGCACGTCCAAGACTAGTGAAGTCTTCCAAGCACCGCATGGCTAGAGAAGAAAGTGTTTTACCCTGCTGCGTGACACCTGACAAGAGCATTGAACCACTTGTAAATACCATCCATGGCTGAGAGAAGTGGTGAGGAAGTGAAGACTTAGAAAGTTCAGGATGCTTATCAAAGGCAGATTTGGTAAGTCCGGGTCGAGCACTGTGCTCCGAATTACATTCCATTTCCCCTTTCTTCCTGCTGCAAACACAGATTGGGAAAGAGGGAAACAATAACAGACAAGAGTCCTGAATGAACCAGGAATCTCATTCCTGGTAGGAATCTCCCCATTCCTGTCTGGTCTGTTTCCCCGCCCCAGCTGCCTCACCCTGTTCAGTGCTTGTGCTTGATGCTATTTTACAGGAACAGATACTGTTCCTTCCTCCCTGCGCTGTTTACGAGCCTCACTGCTGGAGGTGTGCAACTCCACACAGTCCTCCATGCGCTTGTGCCACTTCTCACTGGGGTGTGCTTCCCACTTAACAGGCTGGGATCTGAGAAGCAGGGAATATGGCAGCCTGGTGCACGAGGAAGCCTGTAAACGGCTTCCAGGTTTCTCTTAATTCCAGTCATTCTTCCTTCTCCCTCTTGTTCTTTAGCCACCTTGTCCCTATTTCCTCTAACACTCTGACACACACATTTATGTGCTTTACTGC